CTTTACTGGAAAGTACTATAGCTTGTTCTTTTGTTGGGTCTTTAAATGTGTTGACAACACTAAAATATGAGACGTGAGATGCAGTGTGAGTAGTATTTATAGTTTTATTCAAAATCATGGTTGATTTATTTTAAGTTCGGTCACCGGTTCGAAAACGGGTGTGGATTTTGACCCAAAACTGGATTTGTTTCTATTTCTTTGGAACGTTATAGGTTATATTAATATTGATATAGATACTATGAAGTGATTTTTGGTACTCACGTAAACGTTTACTCGGTTGACTTGAAGGTAGCGCTATAACTATGTGTAAAGTAACAAAAATAATTTCTGACTTTGGTTTGATCATTTAAAAACTGATATATTTCAGAAAGGTTTGCAACGTGATTTATTTTATCACTGTCAGGACCGTACTCTCACTATATTTTAGATTTTAAAAGTTAGCTGCATAATAATCGCAAACTAACTTAATGAAGTCTAATTTAGTAATGTTTTCATTAACGTAATATCCATTTAGCCTGTTTTCAATAAAATAAACGTTTCTTTTAGCCGTTTTATCAAGTTTTTTTTTCGAATCTATATAAAGTTCTAATTTTCACATATACTTCTGCTTGAAAATTTAACAAAATGTCTGTAAATTTAAATATGTCAGGATGGGATTTATAAAATTATACGTTAAATTTCGAGTGAAATGATTCACATGCGTTTGTAGTAAATATAAGAGATGATGAATTTGAAGCCCACATGTAAGGTGGAAATGGTGAATCTTCCGTTAAGTAATTATCAACTAGGTAATCACACAATTGCAAAACTCTGTCATCTTCTGGCATAATATTAAAACGTTCATCGGGAAAAAAAGTCACCAACATCATTTGGATCTAAATAAGGAATGCTGAAAAACAATTTTAAATATTTTTCAATAACAGTTTTTGATTTTTATATCCCGAGGACAAACCTAAATTTTTAATTTTTCGGTACCAATTTTGGTTAAATCAAATTTGCAACACAAAATAATAATGTCGGGCCACACTAACTTGGCTTTATTTTAAATTTCTATTTCAAAATCAGAAATTATTCGCTTTGGTTTGAAATTTAAATTCAAATTTGTACATATTGTTATTAATGTATCAAAAGTACTTTTTACGATTGCTGTGATTTATTTGTTAACAAACAAAATACTAGAGGAACATAAAAGCCATTTTTTAGCTATGTGAAGTAAACATCTGACAAAAATATTTAGAACAGTATTGAAATGCTCCATCTACATACAAAGAATCTACATTACACAAAAAGTACAGATTTGTGAAACAACCAAAAATTGCGGGATTATTTTTCGCAGATAATAAAAAGTTTTCACGTTTTGTATTCGTTTTTAAATTTAAGTTCACTAACACTTGTAGAACTTCTTCCTGTGACTTGGGCAATGATGGTGTGGATTTTCGTCTTGCAGCATAGATATTTCTTCGGACGTAATAATAATAATGTCATAATAATGACTTTCATCGTCAGCGATAAATTGCTAAAATTTTCCTTGCTCAATTCCTTGTGGTGTTGTCAAAACCAGTGTTAGTCAAAAGTCCGTTCTCCCCTTCGTATCTTTTGGACGGTTATATTTATAATAGTGGAATTTGGAGAGAGGTAATAAACAGACGTAGACTTTTTTCATAGAATGTTTATACAGGGCGGACAAAAAACACATTGGATCATATGGGATAACCTGAAGTCCAGTTGTGGAATTTGATTTGATTTCTCCCAGGATTTGTCCAGTTTTCATTTTTGTCTCCCATGGGTCGGATCTAGATCGTTTGAAGTTTGTGGGACAATGTTTTTTTATTTATTTTTTAGTTTTCTTTTAAATAAAATTAACCTTTGATAATTAATTAGGTATGATAAGTCAGAAAAGTTGGGTAGTTTCATTTCGACATATGACAGTTGGTGCTTCTTTTTCTGTCATTTGGTACGTAACCATAGTTTTAAAGTCTATTTTATTAGAAGGTTCACAATTAATATTTGTTGGTAACTGTTTATGTATAATAAAAATAAACCTGTAATTTTTCTCTTACACTCGGAGTTGAAAAAATTATTTCTCTTAAAAAGATATTCACCCTTAAATTTTTTAGGAAAGAATACCCTTTATTTATAAGTAGCAAGAGGATTTTTTAACGCGACCTAATTTTCAATAGTTTAGAAATCTTTTTTGTTTAGTGTTGCCCAGGACATCTTTGTAAGTATTTGTTGATTTCTTTTTCGTAGTTAGTTTTTCCAATCATCCCCAAAAAAATAAATCTTTATCCACGACCATGCTCTCCAATCAAAACACGAGTAGCCGTTCGCAAACGTTTCAATATATTTGCTTACCCTATCTCCAGTCATTATTGGTTGAAGGATGAGGATAAAGAAGTGCACATTATAAGAGAAAGCCGACATAGATTTATATTTATTATTTATAATAGTAAATAAATCGCTACATCATGTCAAGGTTAGTATATGGACGTCAATTTAAATTTGATTTACCAGATGAAACCAGATTCGACAATATTGGCCACATTACAAAAAGAGACGATAGTGCAAGAATGTCGGATGTGCAAAAGTAATACTATTTATTTATGTAAAATGTGTAGAGTGCATCTACACCCCGAATGTTTTGAAAATATTCGCCTTAAAATTTAATGTACATTTAAAATACAATATGTTCCTTTATTTAAAATTGTACTGTTTTTTCTTGAAAATTTATTTAATTTATTTAATTTTACTTTACTTACCCCAAAACTAGTTTAAAGTTAATAATAAAGTCTATTTAATAAATATATTCCAAAGAAATAGACCACATTACGCCTATGCACATATATAATGTGGAACGAATAAACTAAAATATCATATTTCTCGCATTTCCATTATTTCTAAGAACGTGGAAATATAATATAGACCAGCGAAATGTTAATAAGTTTACCGATGTTCCAAACTGTTCAATGAAGTTGTCTAACGATACGCTCGTAAATCGCGCCAATGTATATTGTTACGGGGGCAAATTGTATGGTACTAGCTTACTTTTTCACTTATTTACATGAGCAAATCATACACAAAAAAAATGAAAAAAGAAAAATGGTAAGAATTTACTTTTGACATTTACCATGGTTGCCGTTATCTCTTAGTACAATTGGTAGATTATTCACCTTTAATTGAAAATTAAATCAAAATTGAAAAAAAAAAAAAAAAAAAACTGAAAAACACAAAGGGCGAAATAATAACAGATAAACAGGAAATTCTACAAACTGTCGGACAATTTTACAGCGAACTCTACAGCAAAACAGAAGAAAATGTTCCAACTGACAACACACCAAAGGTCCTAAACCAGGGCTCGGAAGACATACCAGATGTTACTGTTGATGAAATCAAAAAAGCTCTCCTACAAATGAAAATAACAAGTCACCTGGCGACGACGGGGTCGTTGCCGAAGCCATAAAATTAGGAGGCGAGAAACTGATACAAATGCTTTCCATACTTTTCACAGAATGCCTTGAAAGAGGAACAACACCATCACAATGGCAAAATGCAGTGATCATTCTAATGTTTAAGAAAGGAGATTTAACAAATCTCGTAAACTATAGACCAATTAGCCTCATCTCACACATATACAAGCTTTTTACAAAAGTCTTTCAACAAACAGACTTTCGAACAAAATGGACTTTTATCAATCATGCGAACAGGCAGGATTCAGGTCAGGCTTCGGCACAAACGACCATCTACAAGTTATTAAAAGCCTCATCGAAAAATGTATAGAGTACAATAAACCCCTCGTCCTATTTTTTGTGGATTATGAGAAAGCATTCGACACAGTAAACCACCAGAAAATGCTAGAAGCTTTAAAAGAGTGCCGAATAGATCACCGCTACACCACTGTCATCAAAAATATCTATGATAATGCCACGGCATGCGTCAGACTTCATGAAGATACACACAAGTTCAAAATTCATCGCGGAGTTCGCCAGGGCGACACCATTTCGCCAAAACTGTTTACAACATTATTGGAATACATGTGTAAGCGTGCAAACCTAGACGAAAAGGGCATAAACATAAATGGAGAGCAGCTTAGTCACCTCAGGTTCGCGGACGATATAGTCCTGATAACAGACCGCATAGATCATGCCATCGAAATGTGCGAAAGACTCTACCATGCCTCTACACAAGTGGGTTTAAAGATCAATAACTCAAAAACACAAGTGATGACAAACCTTGTTCTGAGTGAGAACATCAACATAGCTGAAACAAGTATAGAACAAACATCAGCATACAAATATCTGGGACACGAAATTCGCTTAAGTAGAGATAACCAGACCAATGAACTATTACGTAGAATAGGGTTGACATGGGCAGCTTATGGAAAGCTAAGAGATGTTTTCCAATCAGCCCTTCCCATCTGCTTAAAGAGAAAAGTCTTCGATCAATGTGTGCTGCCAGTTCTAACCTATGGTGCGGAGACGCTAACACTTACTAAGACGTCCGCAAACAAAATTCGAACAACACAGAGGGCAACGGAACGGTCCATGTTGGGATTAACCCTGAGAGACCGAATACCCAACACAGAATTGCGCCGTAGATCGGGAGTAACCGACGCAATCAAAAGAATATCAACCTTAAAATGGAACTGGGCAGGGCACGTCGCGAGAACGAAGGACGGCAGATGGACAAAACGCATTCTTGAGTGGAGACCCAGACAAGATGCCTTTAGAAATAGAGGACGACCACCAACAAGATGGACGGATGACCTGAAACGGACACATCAAAATTGGATGCAGGCGGCTCAGGACAGAAATTTGTGGGGTGAACTACGGGAGGCCTATGTTCAGCAGTGGACGAGTATGGGCTGAATGATGATGATGATGATGATGATGAATTGAAAATTGTGGGAATATAAACGCGTGTTTTATTGCTAATCGACGATTAAAACATGCAATACTCCTCACAATTACACTAGTGCTATATAATATATTATATCTACTAACCTGTACAGATTACTGGGAAGTACATAGATGCGACAATACTGGTAAGTCCAACTCCTGAACCTAGCTCCAAGATTACTGAATCTGTAGGAATTTTGTCATGGTTATATATAAGCCAATCGGCCAAAAGCAGAGCTCCTCTCCAAATTTGTAGACCAACCATATCGATTATGGTGCTCTGCTTGTGTTCTACAAATAGAATGTATATTTATAAAACATTAATCGATAATTTTGTGTGAGTTTGTAAAGAAACAGTCATTTTCATATAGAAAAGAAACTTTGGCAACCTGTTTATGAATGCGTCTGTAGAACGCTGGTTACAGTTTATATTTTCATAAAGCTTCTACAAAAATTAAAGGTATATCCTTAAAATAGTTTCTATGATATTGTTTTAAATATTTAGCCAAATTAAGAAAAATAGCAATAAAAGGATCACAGTATTCATTTTGGCAAAAGTTTCTGGATAAACAGGTCTAACACAGCGTTACCGTAAGTAAAATTTTTAATAATCATTTAGACGCGTTCTTCACATATATAGTGAGTATGGTATCACAATTACTCAAGATCTTATAGTTTATGTTTTAACCCATTATGACCTGCCGTTACATATATGTAACGTTTGTAGATCTGTAGATCCGTTCAAAATTCTTTTGTACAGCCTTAGTTAGGCTATTAGCAAGTAGATGGTGTGATAGATCAGTTTTCATAAGCTAGTTCTGTTGTTAGAAATGAGCTGTGTGTAAAATTTTAAATACATATATCGTTTATTTTATGTGATTTATTCTTGGTGAATATAGGTGACTCGATGGAAGCCGAAGTCATCCCACTGTGGCATATATATATATATATATATATATATAATATATATATATATATATATATATATATATTTACATTATATATTATATATATATATAATATATATATATATACATATATACATATATTCGCAAATTGTTCGCAATTGAAAAACTTTCATTTTGAAACGGCGTTAAAAAATAGTAATGTGGGAGCATATTAAGGGGCGAAAGAGTTTTCAGATGGTGGATTATTTACCATTGAAATGTTTTTATCATCCAATGTTTACTACAATCTCGCTGCAAACAACACATGTCAATATATAATATCATCTTAGATCTGTAAAATAACTTAAGAAGCCGCCCTGCGCCGAGCAAGTAAACAAGATATATATATATATAATATATATATATATATATATATATATATATATATATATATATATATATATATATATATATACAGCAAAACTGGTAAGATTATCGACCGAAACGGAAATAACAATTTATTTGTTGGAATATCGGGTATGCGGTCTGTTATTATTTAAAAAAAATCTCTTTTTTCTTTTAATCCTCTATATTTCGCTGATTTTTTGTCAGCTTCATCAGTAGACAACTAAAATATGATTCAAAGTTATATAAAAATCAGTTTAGAATAAACAATGACCCACTTGTTGAACATAATTTGTTCAAAACAGTACTGACAGTATTGATTATAAGCAACTAGGTCACTATTAATTAAATATAAAAACAGAGCGAACAAAAACAACCAAGAAACAATTAAAACACAATAAAATTACACATTAAAAATATACAGGGTGATTTAAAATATAATTGTTAACAGAAAAATTATTTGGACATACTAAGAATATTACAGCATAGATATTGCTCAACTGTATGTATTACTGTTAACTTGGAAGTTAGTAATAGTAAATGATATAACTAAAGACTTGAATAATTTTGCAGACGGAGATAACAAGTCGATTAAAAGAGGTCCTTGTGTCTACCGTGAGCATTTTGTGAAAATAGGTGAAAGTAGTTTAACGGCATCAAGTAGACAAAAGAAAGTCCTTGTGTCATTAATAAGTAGTTTTTGGAGAAGTTAATCAGGTGTTTCTGGTTAATGCAGGAGGTTTGCAGAGACGTTGGGAAGGAGCCGAGGTGCCAAAAAAGGAGAGATCACATCGTTGAGGAGACTGAACTTTTCTGGGTATGTTCCAACATACAACTCAATAAGAAAATAAGCTGTAAGTGTTTTGTACAATTAAAATTTATATCTGTGAAGGATCTGTTTGACATCATGGTCATTAGCATTCAAATTTAAGAACTAAGGTTTTGTTAGGCTAATCAAAAGTTTAAAGTTTTGTTGTTTCTTGTTTCAAGTAAAGGAAAATATAAGTAAAATTGGTTTTTACTTAATATAAATGTATGTAGATTTAAAATCTTATTATTAAAAAAATTTCATTTATTTTCTTGTATGCTGATTGATAAGATAACGGCAGAATTTGATAACTGTTTTATTCATTCATATAAAATAAAGAAACGTAATTTTTTTGCAATATAATATTTTCTTTTATTATTATCCTTTTTCTCTATCCCGCTAAAGGACAACTAGAAAATTTTTGAATCCATCGAACACAGGTAATATAAGGAGTTTATTTTACATTTGATAACGAATAAGTTGTATTAATTTTATTAGCTCAATAAACTAAGATTAAAGTCAAAATAAACAACCATAACAATATATATATATATATATATATATATATATATATATATCTTGTTTAGTTGCTCGGCGCAGGGCGGCTTCTTTAGTTATTATACAGATCTAAGATGATATGATATATATTGACATGTATTGTTTGCAGCGAGATTGTAGTAAACATTGGACGATAAAAAAGTTTCAATGGTAAATAATCCACCATTTAAAAACTCTTTCGCCTCTTAATGTGCTCCCACATTTTTGTACTATTTTTTAACGCTGTTTTAAAATGAAAGTTTTTCAATTGCGACTGTTACTTCTCTGAAATGGCAATTTTTGAATATTAATTATATTATTTGAAAGCTCTTGGGTCACTGATTTTCAGAAATAAAGGAAATTGTTTAATTGAGAGTAAATTTAAGATAATTTTCACAATTTGGTGGTCACCGTTTTGAAAGGCGCTCAATGAAATTTCATAAAAATTTAAGTATGCTACAGTTGTAAATGAATGATTACCTCACTAAGACATCCAACAATTTTTATTTTAAAAATAGGTAAGGGGACACTTTGAACACAACTTGTATATATTCTTTCGAAAGTCTGGTGCTTCGCGCTAATACTCGTTGGATAATGGGATCCCATTTCCTCTTCTAAAGAAAGATAAATTTTCATTATTAGAACCACTGTTATTCGTGACCAAACACATTTATTTCTCCATATGTTCACTTATGTTCATCTTTTAACCTGACAACGTTACTTTTCTAAATTGAGTTAATTTGTATTCTGCTTTTTAGAAAGAACGACTGGATGTGCTGCGATTACACGATCGTTTTTATAATATCTGGTCATTTTTAGCTGCTACTGCATCATTTCTTATCTCCTTTATTCATCTATATATTGTTAAGTTCCTCGAAAGATATATTTCATAGGTTAAACTTAGACAATTTATATGTAGTCCAGGACACAAAGCGTAAAATTGGACAAAACCTCGAAAAATTCTTCGGAAAAAACCGATTTGCATAAAAATTTTGAAATTATTTTGTTACACTCTACTTCCAAGATTGAAATTAGCCCAGTAATAGTAGCATATTGTTACACTTTTTGGAAATAACAAAATACTACAACTGTCCTCTATTTTCTAACCTTCATTAAACCGCTTAGTCATTTCATGAATTTGCGATCTTGAATGTTCTTAAGCTACTTACTTTTCATCAAGGAACTTTTTTTTGTGAGATAAACCTTAAAAAACTTTTGTAATACTTCTTCTTCTTCTTAGAGTGCCATCTCCCTACGGAGGTTGGCAATCATAATGACTATTTTGATTTTTGAACTTGCTGCTTTAAAACAAATCAATCGATCTGCAATTACGTAGATTCTTCAACCAAGAGTTCTGTCCAATTATATCAGTCCATGATATTTTAAATAATCTGCGGCATAACCAGAATTCGAAAGCCTCGATTCTTTTAAATTGTTTTTTTTTTAAGTCCAAGTCTCGGCTCCATATAAGTAGTCTGATCTCCAAATTTAGATTTTTGCACGTTAGGAGTGGCTTCATTCGTATAAATGCTGATTTGGAAATCTCTATTTGTTCGATCACGTTACCATTGATTGTCACTAGGTGATGTATATTTTGTGGTCTTTTTGTAATTAACATGTACTTCTTTTTTTAGCATTTATAGTAATTCACATCTCAGCACTATTCATACTTAAGCTTTCCTTTCAATCAGATATTGTAGATCTTCTATACTCGTTGCTATAATCACAGTGTCGTCTGCATATCGTAAGTTGTTAATTAATTTTCCGTTAATGGTAACTCCCGCTTTGATATTATTGAGCGTGTTTTGGAAAATTTCTTCGAAATATAAGTTAAACAAAAGTGGTCATAAAACACATGCCTGTCTAACTTTAACTCTACAGATTTTCATTTCTTCTGAGTGCTGCCCATCAATTTGAACTATGGCAATTTGGTTCCAATATAATGTTTGCACTATATTTATGATTTTACTGTTAATGCGCTTGTTCATAAGTATTGATATGCAATATCCTCCTCTAGCCTTTCGTATATTCTCTTATGTATTACTTTTAGCAGTACTTTTAAAGTATGACTCATGTTCGATAATCAGAGCACCCTTTTGCTGCTTGTTTTTTATTGATGGTTATAAAGGCTAACTTCAGCCACTCTTGTGGTATTATTCCCGTATCGTACACCGTGTGGAATAAATCTACAAATACTTCCAAGTTATCCTTTTCCACTAGCTTTAACAGTTCTACTTGTATTTTATCTAATATATCTGTCTTATTATCTTTACAGTTTTTAATAGCATATTTTTTTTATTATCGTTATCTTCTGTCTTTCTAAATAATTTAATTCTTGTATTATTTTCTGAATTTCACCTCTTTTATCTTGGAAAAGTTCTCTAACGTATTCCTCCCATCGTCTTAATTTTTCTGGTACATATATTAGTAGTACTCGTTTTTCGTTTTTTATGTGTCCTTGCTGTCTATTTTGACCTATTCCAGTCACTTCTCTTATTTTTTTGTGCATATTTCTCATATCATATTTTGTTTCTAGTTCTTCTATCTGTTTACATTGTTTCATCAAATAGATTTCCTTAGCTGTTTTGATTTTTTCGTTAATTATTCGTTTTATTTCTTTATATTACTGTAGATCTTTTCCTTTATATTTCCTC